TGGGCCACTGGCCTGGTTCTGACATCCTCTGATTGGGACATGTTTTGCATTTCTGCTGGGCCACTTTGTTGGAGTGCTGCTCCGGGCCTGGCTCTGTTCTGACGTCCTCTGAATGGGAGTTGTTTTGGATTTCTGCTGGGCTTTCCAGGCCTGATTCTGGTGTCCTCTGATTTGGGCATGTTCTGGATCTCTTCAGTGTGAAGTTCTTGGAGATCTGCTCAAGGCTATTGTGCTCCAGAGGGAGAAGTCACATACATGATGTGGTTTCACGTGATCGATGTCAGTTTCGAACGAGCAGCGCAGCGTCCCAATATTTTGGGCATAGCTTCCGCGTAATTCTGTTGTAGGGCCTTTTTTGCGTTTTCTCAAGGCCGTTGCGCTCCAGAGGAAGTCACTCACATTCTGTCCCTCATGCCATGAGTCTCTTGTATCACCGTTGACACTCAAACAGAACCAACCGAAACGCAGGTCGAAACAGCTTCCTTGTAATTTCTTGGGAGGCGTAGGTCGAAAGGTCTCAAAGCCGGTGTACTTTGGTACGGTGTCATAAAATTTTGGGCATAGCTTCCGCGTATTTTTGTTGCGGGGCCTTTTTGCGTTTTCTCAAGGCCGTTGCGCTCCAAAGGAAGCAAGTCACACACATTTTGTCCCTCATGATATGATTCTCTTGTATCACCGCCAACGCCCAAACAGAACCAACCAAAAAGCAGGCCGGCACAGCTTCCGTGTACTTCTTCGGAGGGTATGTCCAAAGGTCTCAAAATCATTGTGATCTGTTGCAATTCACAAACATCCGGTCTGTCGCCTAGGCAGTTTGAGCCTCCTGTGGTATCCTTTCTGATTACATGGGTGCCGAAATCGGAAGAGGACTACAGACTTCTTTGATTACAAGTATCGTTCTTGCTTGGGGGCAATGAAGTCATGAGTGGTACTCAGTAGCTATCCAATCGTTTCTTCCGTTTTCTTGTGTGGCTCTTAAAAGAGCTCTTATTGCATGGCTGATTTGTGGCGTCATCAGTGCCGTACTAGTAAAGTGATTTACTTTCACAGTTACAGTACTGTCGATGCTTCTTGAGCCGATGGGATCTTGTAGTAGTGGACAGAGTGACGAGTCTACTACTCGTGACTACTATTTTTTAAACGAGGCTGTTTGGTGACGGCTGAACGGACAGCACCAGTGCGACCGCAGCGGTCTAATTGATCTACTCAAAAGCGAAAACATGAGCAATGCACTTGTGTAGCTCTAGTAACCATCTGTAGGTGACCATTATCATTGCTCGTCATGGTGCTGTTGGAAGAGGAATGGAGAATGAGGAGGTTGCAGAGGTGCGGTAGATCCGCGGTACATTCCTCTAGACGCACACTTGCTCCTACTTTATGCTCTCGGAGCGAGCTAGCCGGTGAGCAGACTTGACTGTGGGAAATACCCAGGCCTCGGCTCGCGGGTCGTCCTCAATAACATCTCGTCTGAATCCGTTATTAGATGTTCAGTTTTTTTATTTTATTAGCGAGCTAGCTATCCATATATATGCCAATAAGCTACTGCTGTGATTGCATTTGCTATCACCATTCAATCATTCCTTACTTCCTCACATTTCATTAAATTGCTCTTTACCATACAATGGTGGCAACCAATGACCCAAGAATGGCAATCGTCGACCTTACATGGGTGGTCGAAGCAGCAGCAGAGGCAGCTGTTGGCGCTGGGGATGCTGCTGTTTCAGTGGCTGGGGCTACAGTAGGAGATGAAGTGGGAGGAGTCCCCTCTTTACAGGGTAGGGTCTCGCCGGCTGCATTGGTTTCTTGGCATTCGCACCTGGGATCACAACTCATGTAGCAGATTCCATCAACAGGGCTGCAATCTTGGAAATCTCTAGCATATGAATAGTCGCCACTCACAGTGGCAACAGAGGTAAACTGGGAATTGCCGGGGCTTGTGCAGGTGGCATATTGGTCAGTGCACCGCACAGCCAGACGACCCGGACTTTGAACCGAGCTCTCGTACGTGACAAATTCGTCAGGGGTCGCAATGTCAGCATCGGGAAAACTTTCAGTGATGGCACAGGGAACTGCATTAGGACTATCGGGGGATAGACCTCCACTGTTGAATGATGTCGAGTTGTCGCTGCCGATGACCAGGACATTTGTAGGATCCGTGACACAGACACATGCTTCATCGCAGGTAGAATAGCAAGCGCCCGAATTGCAGAATCCGCCCAAATCTCCACCGTCTTCTGCAAAATAATATCCAGTTGATGGGGAAAACCTACTCTCGTCTTCTTCCACCGTGGGCTCCAGTGCGAATAAGCCGAAGGTGCTGTTCTCGTCGATCAAACAGTAGGCACCCTTGGAGCATTCAATGTAGAACTGGCCGATGGAGACATCGAACTCGACCATTTGAGCCGAGGACACAGATGCTGCGATAAGCACCCAGGCAGCGATGATATTGTTATAGAACATAGTGTTTAATACTTTTGGTGAATGTTTCTTTCTCTTTGGGATGATGTTGATTTTTATGAGCTTTTGTTTCGTCGTGAGCAGTGCGGTCTTGCAAAGCTCAAGGGGTCTCAAATATTGTTTCAAACGCCGCGTACCAGGTACAAGGTACTAGTACTAGTTTTCTCTACTAGAGTCCGTCTCGGCTCGACTCACTCCTGTGCGCTCCTGTGACATCGCGTGCGATTGTGCTTTGTTTGGATCTGGAAGTCCCCCGATGACGTCATTTTAGCGACTTCTAAAAGTCGCGGAAAATGCAAAGTCGCGCATTTGCCCTAAAGTCGCGGAAAAAGTCGCGCGACTTTGCGTTCCACGAATAAAGTCGCGAAAAAAGTCGCGAAAAGTCGCGGTTGCGACTTTAAAAGTCGCGGTTGACTTCAGAAGTCGCGAATCACGACTTTGCACCAAGAAGATCGACCATGACAACAGGAGGCTTTGCGACCACTGCTTCACTACTATATCTTAACAACTACTAGCTAGAGTATGCTTCTACGCTACCCACACGGCTGATTTCAGGGCGATTTTTGACCTTGACGCCCTTCTTCTTCTTTCTCTTGGCTTTGGCTTTTTCATCGGCAACTTGCATCGGATTTTTTCCATACGGCTTGTTTGCTTCTCGCTTCTGGTCAATCTTCTTGCTGAAAACTCGCTTGGTAAACGCTTGGTAGCATTCCCTTGTCTCTCGAAGGTCTCTGGGCTTCATTTCCAAGTGCTTGCCGGCAGCCATATCCTCGTCGAAAGCCAAGTCAGCGGCAGATCCTTTTTGCCAAATCAATTTGCCCGTCGGACCGTGAGTTGGCTTTGGATACTTCTGTCGAGCCTCAGCAAGACAATCTTTGTCATAATCACGGGCCCATTTGAGCCGTGTAACAGCCTTTTGAATGCGAGCAAATCGGTCTTTGTATCGATCCAAATCCCAAGGAAAATTGGCAAACTCTTCCCGGCCGGCATACATTTTGTTGAATAAATCTTCCACATCCTCAATCTTCTTGTCAGATGGAACCAATCCGTCGAGCATGTCCTGAACGATTTGATGCTTGGCATCACTTGTTCCCCAATCCGCTTTGTTGAGTGCTGCGGGAGGACGCTGAGTTTCGGCCGGTTTTTTCTTTGCTGTTTTCGCCATGGCCAAAAATTGGACGAAAATTGGACAACCGATCTATCTAACAATCAACCTTTGATCGAGGGGCCAATTTGCTTGCTATCGTTTCTTTCAGTTACCAAGCAATTGCCTAACAGCTTGCCTAACAGTCAGAGTGTCTGCAACGAGGATGGGCCAAACCAATTCAAACAATTAGACCGGTCAGGTGCAGCTTTCATGATAAACCGATTTCGGATTCAAATATTTTGCAGCTTCATTCATTATCCATTGATCGACTGCTTGGTTGACACTGCCTCCTTCATCTCACAAATGCCGACAACACGCAGCAAGAAGCACAGAACAAAACAACCTTTGAATTTGGAGGACGAGTTAGGTGACACGCTTTTTTCTGCAGCTCCAGACAACCCCTACCCGGAGCCGGTGCCTTCCAATTGCCAATCCAACTCCCAGTGTCAACCCAAGCCAAGGAAGCAGGTGAGTACATCCAAGCGGTCGATCAAAACAGAAAACAAATCAACCCCCACGACGTATACGTACTATGAAGATGAGAATGCTGTGTTTGAATGCGATTTCGATCTCCCTCCATCAGGGCTCGATACCAAGACAAAAGTGATTCTTCTGAAGCTACTTGATCCGCTTGGTGGGCCCAAGGCATCAACAAAGAGAAACCGGATTCTTGTTGATCTTTGCCGGAAGTACCCTCGCGACCTCGGAACAGAGGGATCACAGCGTCGCATGCGAGTAAAGTGGCTTGTCGATCGATGGAAGAGGACCGAGTTCGAAGCTACACGTCAAAAGTTGATGAGGACACCTTTCTATTCAATGTCAATTGAATCGCTCGTACGACCAACTGGAGACGAGGATGAAGAAGACTACAATGAAGCAATGCAGTTTCCTCCAATGCCACCACTGACAGCTACTACAACAGTGCAATCACTGCCGACTCCTCCCACTCCCACTGTATCATCGTCCTCGTTGTCAGCTCACATTCCGATAGTGTCCCCTCCACCACCACAGGTCCAGCACGAGCAATTCAACCATCACCACTCAACCCAACAGCGCCACCATTTCAATCCTCCTAATATAGAAGAATTAACAAGCAAGATGGCACAAGCGACTATTGGAAGTCCCCTAAAGCTGATTATGGCTAACAAATCCTCGGCAAAGAAGAAGAGTGAGTGGACTGTACGACTTTTGGATGCTTCTTGTGCTTTTGCTAATCATGACTGATTCGATTGTTCTTCTTGTTTTTAGCCGACGATGAAATGTATCTTGCAGACTTCGACAACCCAGAGGCGCATGGCGAATACTTGGTAACGTTTTGCAACGATGAAAGGATTGGAACAAAGAAAGCTTCCACTATTGTCATTGCACGTCCTGGTACTAGTCCAGATGAAGTCGAGTTTTTAGATGCCAAGATTGTTGGCAAGACAACAATCGAAATCTCCGGACCCGCGAAGCCCAAAGGTTGGATGAAGGGATCGGCCAGCTGGTTGAGTATTATTAAGGCCAACAAAGACGTCTTCCACACCACCAAATTGTTTGAAACAATGAAAGGTCTGGTGACAAATCTTAAGAAGAAGCAACGCACCAAGAAGACAACCATTACGTTTGCTCACACCGGTCTGGAGATCAGCAACGAGCACTTTTCCCCTGGTTGTGAAGATGGGGAGCTTATGATGTTGCCCTTGCCATTCGATTATCAAAAGGACCTTGGAGATGGCACCACTGAGCCTGCAACCGAAATCATGGTCATCTGGAGAGCTTACGTTGTCGGTACCATTGATGATGTTGACGAGGACAACAAAGCGAATTCTTCCGGCAAGAATTTGATGCTTCAAATGATGAAGAAGAGTAAGCAGCAAGTGAAGAGTGGAGGCACCTCTTAAAAGCAACACACCAAATCAATTGTAATGGACTAATAGGCACGTTTTTCCTCTACTACACTGCAGTGTCTCTAACAAGTAACGTAGTTGCCAACCCTGGAATTGATGGCATGGAGATTGATCCGATCGAACCACCCAGTGGCAACAATGATAGCAATGGGGCCGGTACCATTACCACAGTCGTTACCAATACTGGGGCCGGCAGCAACAGCATTGTAATTCCCACCAATGCTGATGGTGTCATCACAAACAATAACAACAACTTCAGCAGTATCTTCGATAGCATTGTAGTTCCCACCAATGCTGATGGTGTCATCCCCGACAACAATGGTAGCTCGCAGTTTACTCTTGCGACGCCTACAAATGATGAGAGCACCGGTGGGCCTACTCCTGGACCTGAGCTGGCTTTAAATACACCAACAAATTCTGATGTTGCTGACAATGAAGGAGGTGGCTTCGATATCTGTATACCCACCAACGGAGATGTACTCCTCGATGACGACGATGACGACGATGAAAAGGAGGACGAGGAATCGCTCATGGACCCCGAAGAGTATGAGAAGGAGTTAGATCAGGAGCAGCAGAAACGTTTGATGGATGACCCTGAGAGGAAGAAAAGGGCTCAGCTTAAGGTTGCGGAAGGTCTTCTTCTTGATAAGGTCAAGTTGGCCGAAGTCGATGGGGATGACACAGCTTGGCTTCGAACCATGATGCAGGATCTGGATAAATTTGTCCGTGAGAATGAAGAGGACTTGAACGATGTTTTGAGATCCCATGCTGCAGACATCAACTACCTCCTTGATAAGGACGAATGGGGCTTCGTGGAAAGGAAGGAGGAAGCAGAGAGCACGGAGGAGATGGAAGTTGACAAAGAAAGCAAGAAGCGTCCAATTGGGTCAAGAGATGATCCAGAGGACAACATTGACCGCTTTGAAGATGTGGACGATGATGAGCTCTAATGGTCATACGGCGCCATTCATATAATACTTTGTAACTAATAAACAGTAGTTCACAAAGCAGCCAAGAGAAGCTCTAATATTCTTACATTCTAGCTGCTGTGCTTCTTAAATGCACATTAGAGGCTCGCCATGTTTGCTTGTGTCCTCGATAGCATACTG